ATAAAATTGTTTTCCGTGAGATTCCAGAAAAAAAAAAAAGTTGTTGTGTTTGCCAGTTACAGACAGGCCACTTCTTTTTATATTGTTATATGTCTTTAGTTATACTACAGATTTGACCCCAAGCATCGTGCATTGCACATATCAGCACAAGGCAAATTTAATGATTTCTGCATTCCCTCTGCACAAGAAAGGGGATACAGAAAACAAGGAGCTGGCATAAATATGAACATTACATGGCTGCCAGGTTACTGAAGCAAAATCTAAGGGGACTGCATAGCTAAGCACGTCAGTGTGTGCTATTGCTGGCTTTGTCTCTTCTCAGACCCACACATACTTATGCCTTGACCTGTACTACCTGGGCATATTAAGTTGTATATTAAGTTATATTAAATTAATGCTTCTTGTGTGTCATTTACACTGATGTTGTCTATTACATACAATGCAGAAATCTGCAGGTTCAAGGTCTGAATGCACCCATGGTCCCACCTGCCATTGAGCCTATGTAATATTTTGTAAATGTATTCTAGTGGGTAATAATATGCATCTGATGAGCAAACAGATAAAACATTCAAGAGAGTCAATTAGCCATAGCACTCATAGCAATACTAATGGAAGTTACATGCTTTGTTTCACCACAGAGCTCTGAAAACATTGCCCCAAGTGACAAATACTATACTGCAATAGAAACTCGCATGCACAAGTCTATTTCTTTTCCCAAATGTCCCGAGGGAGTTGTTCCATTTGATACTAAGCAACCACCATGATTGTAATCTGTTTACTGTGATTATTATTATTATCATTATCATTGCTTTAGGTAATTCTAGGAATTCTACTTCCTCCTTCAATCCTCAGCTTGGAGTTCAAGAACAAAGATGACATGCCTTACATGTCTCAAGCCAGCGAGATCCATCTTCAGGAGAAGAAGCCAGAGGAACCAGAAAAAACAGTGAAAGAAAAAGAGGAGGAGGGCATGGAACTCACTGTAAGAGCTGACAATAAATCACCGGCTTCAGTGCTGTTAGTTTTCTATTCGCACCTCTGTGGGTGTTGCAGGCTATCTGATGGCTAAATTTAGTATATGAACAGGATACCAGTCTTAACAGCCCCCTCTGCTTGGTGAGACTTAAACTGTATATGTTGGCATCATTATGTCTTCATGTTGCAGCAGGACATGATGATGCTGAAGCATCACGTTGTAATGTAATGTCCTCATATTTTGATTCAATTCGATGCTGCATTGTCTGAAATAAATTGAAGAGATTTCAGAATTGAAAGCACTCAGCTGTGACAGATGACTGGGCACCCCTGGTAGAAAAGATGCTCACTAGGTCTTCCTTGGGATGGAGATGCCCAGAGAGTGATGAAAACTAGAGATTTTCTTTTTTCTCTTAGTTCACTTCATTAGAGTGCAATTTAGCATGCAAGTAGGCAAGAAAAATGATGAAAACATTCTTCAAAATTCCTTATGGATTTGTAGTCAGTGCCTCTCACATATATACACAGGCAATTTTTAATGCCCTGAAGACATTAGCAAGTAGCTAGACAACTCAGCCATTACTAAGAGCTTCCATAGCTCAGTAGAACTGTGCAAAGAAGGGCTTGTCTGTAGTAGTAACACAGCCTTAGATGAATAATTTACACCAAAGGGAGAATCAAATAGCTAATGCTCTGAAAATTACGCAAGTCACCTACTTCCAGTCTGTTGTTCTCAGACTTGCTGGACACTTTCTAATTCAGGCTATTATTGTAAGAGTTAACAGTCCTGCCTTAGTTTAGTTCAGTTCACTTTGGTTCCGATTGTGGTGTCTTTGAAAGGCTTAAAACTCATCCCCAGTTCTTCTAGGTCAGGACAGAGGAGTAGAAATAAGAGGGTTTTTTCCTGGTTAATTTAAAAAAAAAAACACACACACACAAAAAAAACCAGACTATTTCCCACAGGCAAACAGCAGGAGCTGCCCCCAGGACCCTGTCTGGGGGCGGGCAGAGGGCCCTGCCTACAGGACCCAATATGCAGGCAAGCAGAAGGAACAGCCCACAAGACCCACCTACAGGACCCATTTGCAGGCAAGAACCTGGCTGTTGGGAAAGACCAGAAGCCAGAATAGCAGCAATGGGCTGTTCTCTGCCCATGAGCTGCTAACTGTGATTTACTATCCCTAGCTTCTGATCTGCTCATGAAGTGCCTATTCAAATCAAATAAGCACTTTGCAAGCTGCCGTTTTCTTGGCAATGGGTATAAAATTTGGGGAAGTCACTTCCATCTCTCTGCAATTATCCCAGCTCCTGGTTTCTTGTCTATAATACTGTGTTTCCTTTTTACCTTCTGACTCCCAATGCAAGGAAGTGATGTGCTGAACTGTATATGCTTTCCCAGACGAGTCTTAGACCTTCCCTCCCTTCTCCTTTCAGTGTGCTGACAGTCCTGTTGCTCTTTCCCATCACTGACTCTGCCCAGCTACTCCCTCAAATTTGATGCATCACTCCAGTGAAGTTTCAGACAGATACAGCCTTTTATAGAAAAGTGAGAACCATTTCCATTGAGTCCAGCAATTTTAGAAACAAAATCTTGGGCCCACTACTGCTGACTTAATATTTTGACTACATAATTTGTGGTGAGTTTTAGGACTTGTAACATGGCTTCATAATTTCACTTTAAAACCAGCAATGTCCTTCAGTGGTGCGGAGAATGATTTGCTAGTAAAGAGACCTTTGCATATATGTCTGTGGTTAGATATCAGAGACAGTTATATCTTGTCCCCTTTGGTGTCAGGGAGAGTGGTCCTGCCTGACATATTTTAAATATAATAAAAGATTTTAGATGGAAGTTTGGGGTTGTTTTCCTTCTGGCCTTAGTCAAATTACCTGGCATAAGTTAGATCTGGCCTCTTCTCCATGGACAAGAGGATCCCTGAGAGACTGTTCAGGAAGCACCTTTGTGAAGCTTCTCTTTAGTCACACTTATATTAAGGGTACATTATTATGGCTTATTGAGATTAATAAATAATTATGAGGTGATTTCACAAATGTTTAATCAATTTTTCAACTCTAGTTCAACAGATCAGTCATTGCCCCTAACTACAGCATTCATAACACCTGCTGCTGAAGCATTTATAATAAAATCTATTTGGATAACTGATTTTTTTGGTTCAGTGATGACCTTTTTTCTTGACTAGTTTTATTTTTATTCAAAACCAAATGCATATTATTCTCCATATTTTTCCTTTCAGAACAAATGAATAGGGCTTTTTATATACATTTACTGTAGTTTTGTTTTATTTGTTTAGATATTTCATACACAATTGTTTAAAATATTTTCCAAATTTTCCCTTGGTTTGGGTTTCTGAGCTTTTTTTGCCCTAAAGCTTAAACAAAAAAAGGTGAACTAAAAATCATTTTGGTCACCCCAAAAGTCTATTTCTGACCAATAAACTATTCATCCATATAATTTCACCTAGCTCTATTCCTAATCATTTCCAATGAATACTACTCATCTGTGTATTTCTGTAATATTATGTTTATATGCATTTTTATAAAAGTACCCCTAACATAAAAGGATCACATTTAGACAAGCTCAACTGATTGATTTCTTTTGAAATTGTCTGTCTCATCTGCTGTTAAACCCAGGTGACTGCTTGATGGAGAGATTTTGCCAGTGCTTAATGGTAGGACAAAAGAGTCAGTTTATTCTTCTGGATTGTGCTTGTGCAGAGTGGATGAACTACAGGGCCACAGTGATTTTTTTGTACTCTTTTACACCTAATTTGCACAGAATAATGTGATCACAGCAACAGTGAAATAAGTCCCCACATGGGTGCATCTGTATGTGAATATATGTTTATTTTGTGCCATGCTCCTCTCAAAGGACTTGGTGGACTGGTAAATGTTGGGATATACTATATAAACATGTAGTGTTTATTCACTGTAAGCTATTTGTTACTCACACCTGCTTTTAAATTATAACAGGTATACGAGAGTGCTGGGCACACATTTCTTTAACACTTTGATGCTAGGCAACAGACTTGCCTTTTTGCAGCATATTCGCAAAAACGTACTAGAGTACCACTCCCATCACCACCTCAGCACCAGGCAGTTTAACACAATTTCTGCATGGACCAGCCAGTCATTAATCCTTAGTAGTAGACCAAGAGGAGTAGAAGGGCTCTAAAATCTAAAAGCCAGGGACCTTTTGTATTTGTACAATGTCCTGACCAGGGCATTAGTTTAGTGGCTGATTTTTAGGTTGGTCAAAAAACCCAATGGTCTAGCCTCATCCAAAGATAATGCTGATTCTGGAAGCTATAACTAGGATTGCCCTTATCCTTATTCAGTGCCCTATAGTTAGGACATTAGAGTTCCTTGGTAAATTATCTTATTTCAGAATACAGAATAACACATCAAAGCCATTTAGAGGGTGTTTTATTTGTTGTTTTGGTTGTTTTGTTCAAATTTCCCACATCAAATAAGGAGTTTGGGCTTTCATAGAGAGCACTAAAAGTCTGAGTTAGGACATTCCAACAACAGCAAAGTTGGTTAGTGTTGGCCTTTGAGATGATATGCATCTTATTCATGTTATGTATGCTTAGCCTTTTCTCTCTAGTAAAAGTAGCTAAATATTAAATCAGGAAAAATGCAATTCTTAAGTTGGGAAACTTTGAACATCAGCACTTGTGCAAGGTCAGTGGGTGCTGGTGGGGGGTTACAGACCACCTGTGCTAAAGCAAAAAGCTTTGTTTCATCTGCAAGAAGGAAAGCTGCCTGTAAGAGAGACTGTTTTTCCAGTGCGGAGAATGATTTGCTAGTAAAGAGACCTTTGCATATATGTCTGTGGTTAGATATCAGAGACAGTTATATCTTGTCCCCTTTGGTGTCAGGGAGAGTGGTCCTGCCTGACATATTTTAAATATAATAAAAGATTTTAGATGGAAGTTTGGGGTTGTTTTCCTTCTGGCCTTAGTCAAATTACCTGGCATAAGTTAGATCTGGCCTCTTCTCCATGGACAAGAGGATCCCTGAGAGACTGTTCAGGAAGCACCTTTGTGAAGCTTCTCTTTAGTCACACTTATATTAAGGGTACATTATTATGGCTTATTGAGATTAATAAATAATTATGAGGTGATTTCACAAATGTTTAATCAATTTTTCAACTCTAGTTCAACAGATCAGTCATTGCCCCTAACTACAGCATTCATAACACCTGCTGCTGAAGCATTTATAATAAAATCTATTTGGATAACTGATTTTTTTGGTTCAGTGATGACCTTTTTTCTTGACTAGTTTTATTTTTATTCAAAACCAAATGCATATTATTCTCCATATTTTTCCTTTCAGAACAAATGAATAGGGCTTTTTATATACATTTACTGTAGTTTTGTTTTATTTGTTTAGATATTTCATACACAATTGTTTAAAATATTTTCCAAATTTTCCCTTGGTTTGGGTTTCTGAGCTTTTTTTGCCCTAAAGCTTAAACAAAAAAAGGTGAACTAAAAATCATTTTGGTCACCCCAAAAGTCTATTTCTGACCAATAAACTATTCATCCATATAATTTCACCTAGCTCTATTCCTAATCATTTCCAATGAATACTACTCATCTGTGTATTTCTGTAATATTATGTTTATATGCATTTTTATAAAAGTACCCCTAACATAAAAGGATCACATTTAGACAAGCTCAACTGATTGATTTCTTTTGAAATTGTCTGTCTCATCTGCTGTTAAACCCAGGTGACTGCTTGATGGAGAGATTTTGCCAGTGCTTAATGGTAGGACAAAAGAGTCAGTTTATTCTTCTGGATTGTGCTTGTGCAGAGTGGATGAACTACAGGGCCACAGTGATTTTTTTGTACTCTTTTACACCTAATTTGCACAGAATAATGTGATCACAGCAACAGTGAAATAAGTCCCCACATGGGTGCATCTGTATGTGAATATATGTTTATTTTGTGCCATGCTCCTCTCAAAGGACTTGGTGGACTGGTAAA